ACTGAATTGGACACAAACAGCGTGCCAATATATGGCAGCATTTTGAAAACACATGATTAATAAATTCAGTGCTACAATTTCTCCAAAAGGTGAAATCATGATGACAACCTGTTCACTAAATATAACCACAACAAATTACAACAAGAATTTCATATTGATGTTATTTTTTGGTTGAAACTCACCAGGGTGCAGTGCAAAGCTCCCTTAGCTGCACTGTAAATGAGCACAGTGCCTGCCACCGTGCCCATTGCCAGCAGGTCTGCCTTTTCCTCCAGCTGCCCTGCCTCTGATTTCCTCTTCTTCCTCTGAGGACCTTCCTGAAAAACGTGCCTCATGAAGTTCCATTGATCAAGTCAAGTACAACTTTATTGTCAAATGCGCTGTATGTGCAACATAATACAATACAATACAGCACAGATGAAACGTGAATGAAACGGTTGCATTGTACACATTAGTAAATATGGAAGTTTGCAAAAATCCTGTTGTTCTTGAGATGCCTGATCAGCAAGGAAATAGTATCAATAACTGACCACGGGCAGAGTTCCATCCCTCCAACTCTTCTTTTATCCACGTCATATATTGGATTGCTAGGCAGGGTTTATGTCAACTACTGGATACCATTTTTCAGCATTTACAGAGAGCACGCGAGAGCATTCAAATTTCAATATTGAGCGCATAACACCGACGTAATAGGTAAATATCACAATCACACATCCAACACACCCGAGATTGTCCTGACGAAACATGGTAAGAACTCGCGCAAAGCAATTCGACGACATATGACGTTATGGATACAAATATTCATGCCGATAACCATAGACCGTTAAATTTGTAACGATTCATTTAAATCCGTGAATTTTCACTGTGATGCAAGAGTTTCTGAACCCTACTGTCACTAACGACATGTAGCTAACATTCCTGAAGTGTTACTGGGTGAACTTAAAAAATGTTTCTTCGAAACGACCGTATTCGGAAACTTTGGAAAATATTTAGCATTGGTAGTTAAATTGTCGAGGTAATCTAATAATTGCATGACGCTTAAGGGTTAGGCTCAGTTCACTTTCTTCGCACAAGTCCATGTGGGACCAACATGTGCGTTTCGAGAAGCGTTGACGGCTAGCGCTTAGCTAAGGTGATTATACGGCAGAGTCTCGGGCAGAAACAAGAGAAAACGTCTATATGTGTTAACATTGGGGATTGTTGCAAGGTATTCGCGCGCAATTTTTTGCAAACAGCGACAGTGATTGTGTATCGCTGTGATTCTCTGACAACGTCCTAGCCCCTCTAGTTTAGGCCGCGCTAGGCTACTTAGCAACTGCAGGCAACACCATAGCAGCCTTACGTACCTTGACTGTCCGGCATGGTCCCCAATGTATGCATGTACAAGTGGCACTCAAATGAGCTGAAGGCACATATTCCTGGTGAAGTGTTTTACTGTCTGTGTTCCAAATTCGAAGCCTTCCATCTTGGGCACACACTGCCAGGTACTGGCGTGATTTTGGTGAAAAAACGCAAGGTAGAGGCAGCAAAGAGCTGCCTTTGCCGTCCGCCATTTCTGAAATCGCTCGAGTCTGCGTGCGTGGTTTCCACGAACCACGTGTGGGTGCTTTTGCACATGCGCAGTGACGCTTTCAGGAGCACCCGCTGCTGATTGGCTGTCACCAGACAACAGTGGTGCGGAAGACCACTCATCCATAATTCGAGCCGCTTATCCTCAAGTGGGTCCCGGATGTGTCGGTTCTTCCAGCCATTTTCCGGCTGTCGGTGGGGTACTACACTGTGAATCGAGTGCCAGCCAATTGCAGGGCACACAGAGACAAACTAACATATACACCCAGTCACACCTCGGGACAATTTCCTGTTCAATTAACCTGACATACATTTTTGGGAACGTTGGAGGAAACTGGACTCGCAGAAAACACGCAGCCACGGGTTCGAAACCGCAACCTCCGCACTGTGAGCCGAACGTGCTAACCAGTCGGCTGCCGTGCTTACGAAGTACCAACACGTCTTTTTAAGCCTCTAACGGAGAAGTATTCAATACAGCTGATTCAATTGCTCATGATCGTTTTAGGGTTCGAAAGAGCTTGCTGATGAGCTGATCGTACAGACAGGATATGGCTCTCGAGGAACCGGAGTACCCTTCCCCTGCCGTGACGTATTGCGACAGACTTCACATGAGCCCACAGTGCCCTCTGTTGGATTTTGGATTGGATTGGATACAACTTTGTTGTCAAAGGTGCTGTATGTGTGTAACATACAGCACAGAAGAAATTTCTTCCCTCTCAACATAAAACAAGAGGAGCCGCTGCGGGTGTCCGCGCTGCCATCAAAAGAAAAGTTAACAAAAAAATGACAAAAATAATACAATTGTTCTATTTATCACTTGTAATTTGTGATAGTCATACGACTCCTACAGTATACTATTCGGGTAACTCTTTTTTTTTAATGAGATTATTTATTTACTGTTGATTGGCGTGTGCACCATCACTTAGACATGTCACGGAAGCGGCAAACATATTAAGACGCTGTCAATGCAAGTGCTGACTTCAAAATAAAAGCTTATAAAGGTGCAGGAGGTCAAAGTCAAGGCCCGGGGACCAGATCTGGCCCGCCATATCATTTTATGTGGGTCACGAAAGCAAATCAAGCATGTCAAGTTCCATGATGCTTGCTAAAGTCTGAACCAAAATTTCAAATTGTCATGTGTAATCCACAATAACGGTCATTATTCTTGACTTCTGATTTTAAAACTAGTTACCCATCAATTTGTTGTGCACTGTGTATGTAATATGTAGAGGTGATTAAACATTTATATGGTTTTCCAAAATTCATAATGGCCCTCCAAGGGAAACCATAACTACAATGTGGCGACAAAAGTGAGTTTGACACCCCTGCTCTAGTTTTTCATGATTTGGACAAAAAATACACAAACACACAAGGCTACTGAACACATTTACTGTGAGTAGGCATTTCACAAAGAAACAGTGAAATGAGTCAATAGCGGGGAAAAGGATCAGCAGAAACATTAATGATCAGACCAAATACAAACTACAGAAGAGTGCCAGAGAAGAAGGAATTCTGGCATTTTTGGCAAAAGTTGTGCTCTATGGTTGGAACAATGTTTGCATACTGTTGCGATCTTTGATACGTGTGCTCATGTGGTTGCACGTAGCCCAGCAAACATATCACAGTGCATCCAGGATCATTATGCACATTACGGACCATGAACGTTTAGCATGGATAATAGTGACCCAATACCATACACCGTGTTACCAGAACACAGTATCATAAAGAGCAGACATAGAGCAAAACGGGCAGGAAACAAGAAAGATGATGCTGTTATGATTTCTTGTCATAGCTACGAGAATCTACTAAATACTGTGCCATGTCAAAAGTATTTCCCCATTTCCTGATTTCTTAGTTTTTTTGCATTTGTATTTTACAGGACTCATGTTTCAGGATCAACTAACCAATTATAATATCTGACAAAGGCAATCACTGAAAACACAAAATGCCGTTTTTAAATTATCAGTATGATTTTATTTCTTCAGGGGGAAAATCCCAAACTTGTCTGGCCTTCTGTGTCTTGGTTTAATTATTTTCAACACTTGTGATAAACATGAACAAAAAATAGATAAAACTAAACAAATTAGGACACTGGCAAATACTTTTTGATGGCACTTTAGATGAAACAAATTTGAATGAATTGTCACATAAAACTTTGCTACCACTGGCAAAACATTGCAATACAAGGTTCTTCTACAAAGAAACACTAGCATTGGGACAAACAGTCGGTACATTTGAATTGTACAATACAGCAACGTTTGCCTAAAACGGACATACATTTGGAAATTGAACATCTTTTAAAAGCGTCATCAGTGCTACATCCTGGACAGTCAGAGTTGAGATTGGAATGACTGTACCTATTAAACAACAAAATAATAATTAAAAAAAAGATTAATCTGAATGTTGAGCGAGAAGTGGCATTACAAACTTTGGAGAAAAAATAAACTTCACTTCATCGTGCCACATGTAATTTTTTTGTTGCACGCTAACCAAAGACAGATGTCGGATGAAGAGTACCGTATTGGCCCGAATATAAGACAGTGTTTTTTGCACTGAAATAAGACTGAAAAAGTGGGGATCATCTTATATTCGGGGTCTCGACATTATACCCCATCACGACGCTAGATGGCGCCAGATATAATTGAAGCGAATGCTGAACTTGACTTCCCTGGCCAAAGTGAACCCCTGTCACGAAGCATAAACATAAAAATAGCGGTAGCACGAAGAAGAAAAATAAAAAATAGCGGTAAGAAAGAAAAAAGAAAATAATAGAAGAGATAACAGAAAATGGAGAAACGTAGCGACAATCTGGAGAAAAGTGGGTCGAAGATTGGCCAGGTTAACCGGCAGCTGAGGAGAAGTTATGATGTAATTTACATTTCAAAAACCAGAAGCCATTCATTTACGAATGTGATTGCACTTTAGTTTACATATTTAATGGGTTCAGATATTAAGATTTGAATGAGGCAAAATTACATGCTTTTTCTCTCAAATAATGTTGTAATCATTTGTTTCAGATGTACTGTCATTATTTTCTGTATAAAAAATAATTTGGTGTTCAAAAAGTCTTTTTTCAAACTTAAGTCTTGAAAATGAGGGGGTCGTCTTATAATCACGGCCGTCTTATATTCGGGCCAATACGGTATTTTTAATTCGATGCAAAACCCATCAAAGTTATCAACGATATCAGAACCACAACCATTTGCAAGCTTGTCATTCACTGAGGGTCTTCTTAACTTCTAATTTCTTACCTTAAAATCAATGCTATTTCAAATATTTGTCTCGCTTTAAAATGAAGAGAGAGAAAACAAAATACCAAAACAAGCCTCTAAACTTGGTCTTAACTAAAAGTTTGGTCTCTCTTAAAAAACTGAAAAATAAAATAGGAGCCAATTTTAAAGCCTGGTGCACAAGGTTATTTGGGCTATTTTTCTCCACTTTTTGTCCCAACCTCAGACCACAAACACCAGATTATTATGTCAAGTGTATATCGACTTTTGGCTCAGCCTGTTTACCTCGGCTCTCTGAAACCATTGATTTTTTTCTCCCCAAGTGCATTTAAATACATCCCCTCTGTGGCACGTCATCAAGCAAATAGCAGAGTGAGTGACAAGACCAAAGAGACGAGATGAGACTCGGGAGGGAGATCTTTGAGTATAACTCTGAGGCCAAAGGCCACCAGAGCCTTCAGTGGAAGAGTCCAACATCGGCATGGCCTAAGAAAGTAAGACAGTCGGATTCCAAAGTCATGTTGATTGAATTCTTCAATTTGATAGCCGTCCATCATATTCTGCCTTTTCATGCCACAGGGCGTTTGCTTCATTCCATGCGCAAGAACTTGTTGCTGCTTCACCCTGACAACGCAGCCGCTCAAAATGCCCTCATCTTCCGACAGTTCCAGGCTGAGAATAACATTGCCGTGCCGCTCCCTATTGAACTGACTCTGCTCTGTGTGATTTTTTTTCTCTTTCCCAAGCCAAGGGAGTCATCAAGGAGACTTCTTTTGAAGATGTGGCCGACATCAAAATGACTCCGAGTGCAGCCCTGTAGAGGATCCCAGAAGAATCCTTTCAGAAGTGCATGACGGTGTCGCAGAGAAGGCTGGAAAAGTGCCCGTTAGAGTCCAGAGGGATAACTTCAAAGGGGAGAATGTGCGGTTTGGATTTGAAATAGTCAACAGAACGCCAAGTCCCATAGGTGAGAGGCGAGAAGTCTTCTAGCGCCTACAAAGTGGAATTGCCGCTTGGATAATCTTAAATGGATGAAACATTTTGAACTAATTTAAGAATAAAGAAATAACATCAAAATATGCTAGAACCATTGATGAAACTACAGCGAAGATTTAGAGGTTAAGCTGTGCTTGCTGATTCCTATTGTATTGCGCAACTCTGTCTGTTCGCATCTTTGGAGCGCAAGCACAGTTTTGGTTTGTAGTTTTCCAAGAAAAGCAGCTGCTTTGAGTTGAATGCTCCACGACGCTTCCTGAAAAACAAGATTTAAAAAAAAAAAAAAAAAAAAAAAACATCATGAAGCTTGAAACCCGTGTTCACAAAGAGCATGGCTGTGTGAGTAAGGTACCTGTGCCCATTGGACAGTGTAATGGCGGCCTCCCTTGTACATGCTATCAAAACATTAGGTATGAGGTACTCACAGTCTTATGAAGTGAACAGCATCTTCATACGTCATCCCACACTCGATCAAAGCAAGGGCTACCAGCACTGGAGCTCTAGAGACAAAAAGGCAATTCCAACAATAAGATAAGATATCCTTTATTTGTCCCACACTGGGGAAATTTACCGTCTACAGCAGCAAAATTGGGGGATAGAAAGAAGAAAACAAACAAAGTGTTTGCATGCACAAAAATAAATGTTTCAGAACAGAGCTGTACACAGTTCAATAAAGAATGCGCTAGATCTTTTATTGTTATTATTATTCTCATTCATAGTTTGTTTCATGTACAATTCACCGAGGGCACTGGCAAAGAATGGGAATCTGGAGAGCCGAGAGAAGCATTTGAAAACAGCACACGTGAGGTACGATAGTTAACACGCTGCACAAATGCGTCCCATAACGGCACGTCAGGTCTCGGCGAAAGGAGGTGGTGATTTTCTTTTCACAAACCCACAAACTCTTGTGTCGACTTTATTTTTCTGTTTCGTTCATCTTTGGCCGTTTACCACAGTTTAAGATCATTTTAAATTGTTTAAAAAAAAAATCCATCTGTGTGACCGCTTTCTTTGCAAATATGCCATATTAGAATGTGAAGACTCACGGCTAACAAAGAAAATCAGCCAAAATATGTCATGTCATTTCTGTCATTATGGCGAAATTGAGCTGTTATAGCTTTTAATCAGGTGCACTACTTTGCAGTCTGGACATCACGGTAGTGATTTGTTGATTGAACAGGTCTAGAGGTAATTACACCTGGGTGAGTTCAGTGACAAATGAATTCAGCTTTCTAAAAAAATATGATTGGCCACAGTCGTAATTTAAAAAGGGGGGGGCAGGTATCTTTGAATGGATTTTTTTTCCCTTAATCAATAAAGTCTCCACTTAAATACTGCATTTCATCTTTACTTCGATTATCTTTGTCTGATATTGCCATTTTTTGATGTTCTTAAACATTAAAAGAGGAAAAAATCTGCAATAAAATATGAATTTGTCAAGGAGCCAAGTACTTTTTTCATCGCAATGTTTGTAAATCATATTGAGAGCACAAGTGTCAAACTTGAGTCCTGCACGCTTTAGATGTTTCCCTCCTCCCACACACCTGATTCAAATGATCTGAAAACAATCCTGATCATTTGAATCAGGATCGAGGACCGCAATTTGACACCTGCGATCTTGGGCAATCATACCTTCCCAATCCAGCAACGCAATGCACAGCCACACAGCTGCCAGGCTCGTCTCGGAACTTTGTCTCCAAAAGACTCAGCCAACTTTCAACCACTTGATCGGGAGGGGCAGAGCCATCTTCAAATGGCATGTCCTAGAAAAAAGATAATGTGGATTCAGGGAAACATCCATATCTGCAGTTTTATGTTCTGTACTTTCTGTATCTTATCCTGGACGCCTCCCTGGCAAGGCGTTCCAGGCATGTCCCGCTGGGACGGGGCCCTGTGAATGACCTCAAAAATGCTGGAGGGATTTACACCGACTGTTGGCTGGCCCGGGAACACTTCAGCATCCCCGGGAAGAGCTGGACAAAGTGGCTGGAGAGAGGGAAGTGTGGGCTTCCCTGCTTAACCTGCTGCCCCGGTGAACCAACCTCGGACAAGCATAAGAAAATGGACGGATGCAGGCACATGCACAGATTTGTGGGAAGGTGGGGGTGGGGGGGGGGGTTAAACAGAAATACAGGCCACCCCTCCGTTGTCAATAATTTAGATCATTGTTGGCGCCACAGCACAACATGTGACAGGGATTTCGGTTGGCATTGGAGATACATACCGCTTCAAAAATGTGCATTGCGCATGCAGGACCTAACTGTATGCATACACATAGGGCTGTGCATAATTCCATAGAAATATATATCGCGATAGATATGCGATTAGAAAATGTGTTTGATAATTTTTTGGAAAAAAAAAGAAATCAAAAAGCAAACCCTGATATATTTTCATTCATATATACAAAAGCATTACGCCTTTTATAAAAGAGCCATCTGCGAAAGCGGCACGAGTACACAGCACTAGAAAGTCTTGCGGTTTTCTTGTCCTTATCCAATTAAATCCAGAGGACAGCCAGATGACTGTGCGGTTTAAAATGAACAACTCAATAGCCTACAATTAACCACATTTTGTTAATGCAGCCATTACCTGCCAGTTTAGCGGTTCTCAGACACACAATCTCCCGCTAGCTTCCTACCGCTTTACCCCTGACTGCAATATTTATCCACGAAAATGTGAAGGGATACCCACATAATTTTGTAACAACACAAACTGCCTATTACAATGTACTGTTGGGCAATTATGTTCAGACAACTTCCAAGGTTCTTGCTAAAATCTGGAGTACATTTTCAAATCGTGGTAAATAAAAACATCGCAATTTTCTTCTTTCCAAACCTATTTTTACAATAACTTCAACAATAGTTGAACAAATTACTGTCTTTGACTTCAGATTTCAAAATGACGTAGTCATAAACATGTCCTGGGAACGCAGTGTCTTTTGTCTAAACTCCCCTCAGTCCCTGTCCCTGTCCTGACCCAGAAGGAGAAGAAAAAGTGAATTGGAGGCAAGTAACTTACAAGAGGCTGCATGTTTACTCAACTCTCCAAGCAGCCCATCATATTGTGTGCACTGCTTAGACGTACCCTCCAAAAAACCCGAAAAGATATGCTGATAACCAGTGACAGTCAGTTTTGGCAGGTATTGAAAGCTTGACTTTTTAAAACCACCGTCAATCGTCAAACCAGTGACCGGTTCATGCCTACTTGCAGCTGAATTATGAATAACCTATAACTGACAAGTACGGAAGCTGAACCTGAAGTAGCCTCAGAATTGGATGTGAAACTCGGAGCTCTTCACATTAATGAGAACCCAAGAAGGAATTCACAATTTCAAAAAAGCGCACATCATCCCCTCTCGTGTGACACTAATTCATCGTTGTTTAAATATTAAACAACATCAAATAAACAACAGTAATCAGTTTATCCATAGGAATGGTTTACGAAAAAAAGATTCTGCTGCAAACTTTAATGCAAAATAAATGTAGACGGGATTATTTGATGGAATGGTCGATCGATGGTCTGTACTTGAGCTGAAATAAATAAATACATACATAACATATACAGCGAACCCTCGTTTATCGCGGGGGTTATCAAGTATCAAGTACAACTTTATTATCAAATGTGCTGTATGTGGAACATGTTCCAAAAAGAACCCGTGATAGGTGAAATCCGTGAAGTAGTCAGCTTTATATTTTTTATACTTAGGATACAAGACAATGTTGTACTATGGAATGATAAATATAACAAAAATAAAAATATAAACGTTTTCCTACAAATAACTATGATCGTTTACAGAAACAATGTAAAATAAGAATTTAAATAGTCAATACGGCGTTGGACACATTGTGACTCATGCGTATTTCACAGTTCCTTTGCCTTTGCCTCTTTGTTCAGATTCCGCGCCGCTTTAGCGTTTTTTTTTTCTCCTGAAGGCTGTGGTGCGGGGGTCTTTTTCCGAAAGAACATAGCTATTGTTGGGACATATCTTTTAAACTATTCTCATTCAAAGTTTGTTTCATCTGTAATTCACCGATGGCACTGGCAAAGAATGGGAAACTGGAACGCCAGGAGAAGCATTTTAAAACGGTACACGTACGTATGATAGTTTCTGCACTTAACATGCTGCAAAAGCGGGTCCCATGTCTCCGCGTCAGGTCTCGACGAAGCTAGGCAGTGATTTCCTTTTCACAAACTCTTATCTACTTTCTTTTTCTGTTTGGTTAATGTTTGGGGCCGTTACGGCCACCACGATTCATGTGTGCGTGCGCACGCGTGTGCATGGGTGGGCACGCACGTGCGTGTGTGCATGCGTGCACGTGCGCTAACAGGTTGATCACGGGAGGTTTGCTGCTTGTTAAGCAGATCTTTAGTCAAAAAAGGTTGACATTGGTCTACATCTCTTAGCCAATCAGGTTGCAAAACACAATGCACGGTTTAAAAAAAAAAAAGCCTAAAAAAAAAATCTGCATACATTTTTATTTTTTTGTGAAACAGCGAACCCGTGAAAGGTGAACCGCGTTGTAACGAGGGTTCACTGTATACGTTATATACACATTATTATTATAATGTGTATATAATATATTATATTATATACACATTATAATATTATACACATTACATAAATCAATACATTTGGTCACTCACCATGACACGAATGCCTTCTTGTTCCACTGGTGCCTTGTCATAAGTGGCAGCACACACTCTTACCAGGGTGTTAGCTCTATATGCTTTTAGATCCTTTGAATCGACACAGATTTCAACGTCACAACAAACTCTCCAAACAAGTAATATGACAGTTGTTATTGAAAGTTAAAAAAATGTGTCCTACCTCTATAAACCTTCCAAGTTGTGCATTAGTGGGGTTGTGTGTGATGAGGAACCTTAGAGAGTCATAAGAGATTTCCACTGGTGCAAGTCGGTTCATTTTCACACCCACGGAAGTTTGCTACTTAATGGAAAAGTTTTGTGAATGGGAGAGAAAATCTTTGGAGTGAAATGGGAAAACAAGAGCAAATGAAATCAGATCAATCCAGGCTTCCTTTGGAAAATGTTAACCCATCCAGAGAAGTAAATGAAATCAAGCGATGAGAGGAAAAGTGGAGATGTTGAGACCACAAATAATCAAAGCCTGTGCTGTTCACCAAGATTTCTTCACGTGGTTAAACAGGATGGCAGGGAAGACCTGCCAAGATAACAACACTGTATTACATTGATATCTTGTTTTACTACTATTATTTAGCACCCAGACTTACTTGTGGGTATGTGTGTGTGAATGGCAGTGCTTTTGTCTTTCTAGTGTCTGTGGTTCACTTGTCCACAATGAGCAGTAGGTGCTGGGCTTGGCAGAACTCCCTTTCACGCCTTGCAACTGCCATACATGAGCAGCCTGAGTTAAGAGAAAGACAACAAAATATGGGAGGGTTAATTAATTTACTAACTCAATGACTGAGGATGTCTCTGTAACAGAACTCCAGACTAACTTTTGTTTTTACGAGGAGCACAGACATCTCTAGCCAGGAATTTTAGGGGCACAAGTAGAAAATTCAAAGTCGACTTGCAAAGTAATCATTGACTCCACTCATTTTCATTGACCTCTTTATAATTGGGCTGAAGTGTGGAGCATGGGTTTGTCAGCAACCAATAAAAAGTATTCAACAAAAATAAATGAACAAATAATAAACATTACTGGTTGCACTGGTGTAAGTAAATGAAACTGTTACTTGATGGGACACGCATTCCCGAAATATAATTCTTGTGCCAACAAGCTCTTAGTGTGGGGGTGAGGGATGGGTCAAATTAGTGAGGTTTGGCAACTGACAATTACATTTTTGGGAATAAAAATGTTAACTCAATAATTACTCACTGTGATGTGAGCTGAGGAGACAGTTCATTGAGCACGCACAGGACAATGTGACGGCTGCTGTATGTAGACACACCATTGATGAAGATGCTGGTTTGCTTCTGCTCACGGCTGACAACGGCCTGCTAGCTTGATGCTAAACTGTTGTGCAATAGAAAACACGGGCTTGAGGGTGTCTTGCAGCGGGGAAACGATAAATTGAAGTGACCGCAATAGAAAACACGGGCTTGAGGGTGTCTTGCAGCGTGTTCGGGGAAACGATAAATTGAAGTGACCACACATTGAACAGAATTGTCAACGAAATCATCTTAAGTAACAGTCACATATTGCGTCGCAGTGCTAAGTACTGGACCGTTAACTATTCGGAAGGTCTTTCGAACAGATTTAGATTACGTTGAACAATAATCGACGGATCAGTTGCTGTCGAGTGACATTGATAAAGTCGACGGTTCAAATAGGTTTAGATGATAACTAGAGTCGATAAACTAAATAAGACGTCGAATAAAACTTCCCAATAAATGTCTTATACTCCACTCGAATTAAATGATGTGCAATGTAACGTTAATTAAGCGTGTGACGTGACATTACACTATGACAACCCGTGCAAAAACATCGTATGCAACACAAAACGAGAAATCTTAATTAAACTGTATTTACAGCGAATTCGTCCCAAAGAGGATCTAAGAAGGTCGGTTAGAAAAGGACAAAACAACCAGGTTCCAAAAGGAAGGCACAACGCAACCAAGTACGCGATTACTGCACTGTATGGCGAAAACATCACGTACCGCCTCCTCTGTCTTCTTCGCCTTCTTTTGTCATGTATCCGGATGATGGCAAACCAGTGCAGTAGCGCTGCCTAACGGACTGGAGTGTAAACAATAGAAAGGCAGGAAATAAGAGACGCACGTAAAGGTTGCATCCATAACAGCAGAGAGAGCAAAAGTCCTCACACGCTATGCTTAAATAATAGTTAAGGTCACGGTTAGGCAAATTAAGGATTGAATGGTCATCAGCGCCACTGGGGATGGGAAGGCAGTGGGCACATTGAACCACACATTGCCTAACCAGATATATGTCAAAAGCGCCATTTTAAGTACTACAGTATACAATAAATCTTTTTCATTAAACCAATGTTCAGCAGAGTATCTAAAAGTTGATGCTCAAAGAATGTTTGGAAGATCGAGTGTTCAAGTGTTTGAAAAATCATAACATAACCACACACTGTGATTTTATTTATTTTAATTTAATATTTAATTTTTCTTCCAGTGCAACGAGCATTAAAATGATTATTTAAGGATTATTAGAAATACAGTACAGATAGATAGATAGATAGATAGATAGATAGATAGATAGATAGATAGATAGATAGATAATGGAAATGCCTGCTCTACGGCAATACAAATACCGACACTCAGTTCAATGGATTTCTATGGGCCATTCCAGAAATCGAACTTTAAACAATCCACATTCAAAATATTAAAACACGCAGTTTCTCAGTATATTTACTTGTCCTGAGAACAAGTCTAAAAGAACAAGGAGAAAAGGATGCCTGAAAATAGTCTTAAAAATACCAAATAAGTCTGGAGTACGCCGTAAAATGCAATTTTTATTCTTGCTCTCCCAATGATCAAATCGAATCTTTAATGTCATTTTTAAGTGATCTGTTTCATTGCTGACTCGTATAATTGTCGGAACATTTGTTTTAATAAACATCATATTTTAACTAATAAGTATTATTCATGGAACGTGTGTCCCACAACATGCACGCAACCCCATAACATTTTTAGCATGGTAGAAAGAAGAGGAAAGAAGTGAATCACATGATGCGCTGCACTTGACAGCACAAAAAAAAAATTCCAAAAGAATGGTACTGACGCTTCTATTTTTCATACTTTTAAAACAAAGTTAGCCTTGATTGTGCAACCCTGTTATGAATATGATCATATATCCATCCATCCGTTTTCTGATCCGCTTATCCTCACAAGGGTCGCGGGGCGCGCTGGAGCCCAGCCCAGCTATCTTCCTGGGTAATAACATTTAGAGATACTGAAAGTAGGCATGAAGAAATAAGTAAAAGGACATTAGATATAGAACACTTGTGACACCAGAATAGGATGGTAACTACTGTATTATTGTAACAATGTTCGTATATCGACGGGATTTATAGGATCGATCCCCTGAAACATTTCATTCCAATGCTTTTAACTGTGCGGGACAAAAGGGGCGTGGCTCTCTCTAAAGCGCACTACTTTTTCTCTAAAAGCACACGCGCAGTCTCACACACACAAATTCATTCGTGGATAAGAAAAGGGTTGATATTTGATCCCATTTTCTTTCAGAGTCCGACAGTTTCTTTCCCGTTCCTTCAGATGTTTATCACATAGCTTAGTGTCTCTCTAACATGACAGGGCGTGTGTGTTCGTGCGCGTGTGCGTGCGTGTGTGTGATGACGTAGAAGCTGCTGAATCTGGTTTGGCAAGATTTCTGGAAAAGGGCGAGCAAGAACAGACAATCCCTGAAAGACGGAAAAGAGCGAAATAGTTTCGCATCCTAACTTGAGCTGTTGTAAATTGACACTTTCTCCTTTGTTTTAGGGAATTACGTATCAGATTTTAAGGAAGGTTTTCAGCACCAGGTAAGTTTAAATCTGGTTTAATAGTCATATTTTTTCCCTGTGTCAAAAGCAAGTATCAATGTTAGTCGTGTTGCTTGTTTTACATCGAAAACAATTTGCTTTACAGGGGGAAACCTACGTTACTATTGGTGCTGGGTTTAATTTTTCCTCCGACTGAGACCTATGAACGTTTTATGAGTTATAAAGTGAAAAAAAGATTATTATTCATGATGATATTGCAATCAATATCCACAACCAACGTAGACAGGGATGATGACATGTTTTGTTGGTTGTTTCAGGTCTGGCAATGGGGACATATTGTAGGTTAATGTTCATGGCGTTTGATGACACCTTGTTGATCAAGCATCACTGACGATCAAAAAGTAGCAGTGGAAATGGCACAGAGAGCCCAAGTTGTTTGGTCAAAATAGAACAGTCCTCAATGCTGAGGCTCGACTCGTTTCAGTCATTGAAAAACACACATCTAAAACCAAACGTCTTTCAAATCTCAGGTTTTTTTTTTGGTTTGTTTTGTTTTTTTAACTCATGATTCAGTGGGTGAGCCTTGACTAATACGGAAAGAATGCAAGGCGAAAAGACGGCTATTGTACTGTATATTCAATATGGATTTCCCTTTTTGTATAGCTTGTGATATACTGTATACTAGAACGGAACCTGGATTTACTGATGCCTCACTATAAGGAGTCAAATACATGTTTTCCCAGAATTCTCTGCTACATCTCAGGGTTCGAAATTAACAGTGGCCCGTTAGCACTACGTGACGGTGTCGTGCAACCTCGAAGTTCGCTGGGCCAAGCTGCCCAGTGCAAATTTAATTAATAAATACGATGAAATCAACAACGTTCTTGCTTTTTAAATATTAAATATTAAATATCTTGAGTTTTATTCACTTAAATCGACCAATCATCATCGCAATTTTTACGGCACTGCTAAAAGGTATGACTTGTACAAGATATAAAGCCAAGAAAATGTCAAAGGTTAAATATTCAGTTCGATCTTATGCTGAGCCCCCTGCCCCTTTACATCAAAGAAGTAAATACACAGAGGTAATATTTTCTGAAAGGCTTGAATAATACAGTATAAAGACGCTAAACATGACATTAACATATTATTTTGTTGCTGTCCTGTGAAAAACACGTATGTCCATTTTTTGGTCTTTTTTTTTTTCATTTTTACATTTATGGGTTGCCCGAAATTCGAACACCCTGACGAACATAGAAACATTATGTCCAAAAGTATCAAACAAAACACATGACTGAAGATAAAACATAACAATGACCAAAACCTGACTGAAACAAACATGACAGCAGCCAACAAACAGCAACAAACAATGACCCGACCATGAGTGCTCGGGCTGGGAGTCCTTTTAAAGCCACTAATTACCTAACAACCAACAGGTGTGCAGCTGCAGGGAAAAGCCCCACAGTGCCACCTGTTGGTCACAAACCGAAACATGACAGAACTAAGCAAACACGACATAATCTCTTTATTGACTTGCTGGTTGATCGTTTGGCCTGCGTTGAAGTTCGAAAACCCGTAGTTTGGGTTTGACATGTTTCTTAAACATGGCTATGTTGACATAATTAACAAAACAAGAATGAACTCTGCTCCCCAAAGTTAGCTGTGGCAGGGTTATAACCAGATTTTTTTTGGTGCGTTGGCCAGAGTGACAAAACACCTCACTGAGGGTGGGCCATATCGATGGCCAAAATGAAAATCCTCCTGTCTGACAAAGCTGTCAAATTTAGGCCCAGAAAGTGTCAAGCCTGCCAGAGTTTGTCTTTGTCTACCAGTTGAATCCCTTCTTCATTTCTTGTAACCTTTTCTGTCACCGAGAAGGCATTGTTTATCAAATAGTGTGTAGAACATTGCGCAAAAAAACTCAAAGACCAACCAGGACCAAGTCTAAGGAAAAAAAGCAATGTTATGCTGAGCTTAATAGGCTGATGCCATTCAACATAATGTGAATGACTTATTGATTCAAATCATCAGCACAATGACGCAAAAATCCCAAAGTTTCACATTTGTAATCGACCTTTTGCAGGGCTATGTTTCTGCTTGTTTTATGACTGTGTTGCGCAAGATTGGTATTTGTGTACATTCTATTTCATGAAACTGTGACTTTGGATGGTATGATAAACAATGACTTCTGCCATGTTGTTTGCTGGTTACGGTGTAAAAATATTTGAATAGACATTGAGGATAACAATGACATGTTCTTTACTGAAAATAGATTCTATATTTTCTATTCAGATAAAATATGTTTATGTATGTAGTTACAAAGTCATAGAAATGATTAGTGACATAGAACTAAGGGACATAAGAACACTGCATTCATGTGAAAATGGGTAGAAAAGTCAAAATCTTCTCCTTCATGAAAGGGTGGCCAGAGAGTGTCAAGGGATGGCCATGACTACGCCTGGCTCCATTTAGGGCTGTCATGACAAAAGACTCATCTTCTTGGCACATGCAGTAAGGCAGTGTTTTTCAAGCTTTTTTGAGCTAAGGCACACTTCATTCATTGAAAAAAATTTCGCGGCACACCACTAGCTGAAAATGTGAACCCCCCCCCCCCGCTTATTTTAACAATTAACGTGTTATATTGTTACTATAACCGTTTTTAACATTGAAGAATGACGTTATAACAGCTTGAATTGGAATCAAATGAACACAAAGAAAACAGTATTTTATCATCTTTCATATTTATTGTTTTACAATTAAAAATGTTCAAAACACAACTGCATCTCTTCAGGAAGTCCCAGGCAACTTCTGTGATCACCAAGGGGCAACCAATTGTACGCCTATTCATTTTTTTAATTTAGTCAGGATTTGTTAACTTACTTTTTAGATTTATATAAGAGGCAAAAGTTAGAATCGGTTTGATCTCCACTAGAATCGATTCTAGAGGAATCGTTGCTTTGAAACGAAAAGAAATTAGAAGCTCAGCTGAGTCACGGTAAGGAACAGGGACCACTATTGACATTCCATTGAATTTCTTGTTTTCAAATGAGATATAAACAAGTGTGTAAAATTGCCTCAGTGTTTGCCAGAGCCTATATGACATGTGAGACTCAAAAGCACACACAGGTCTGCAATTAGGTAACATGTACAAGTGAGGTTTAGCTCAATGTTTGATTGGTTATTTGTTGCTGGAACCACTTTCAGCTCAATCAAATCACTGTTTCCACTGTGTTCACTCGTCAGCTCCAATCAACGAAAGCCATATGCGCGCGTGCGCACACACGCACACACACACACACACACACACGCACACACACACACACACACACACACACACACACACACACACACACACACACACTCAAATAACGTTGCATGCAACAGACAACTATATTAAGTACAACACAGTTGAAGCAACAAAATCAACCACAAAATGTTTTGTGATGTAGGGCGATTTCCAATTTTTTTTTTCTTAATCGATAAAAAAATGAAAAAGCAAGACACATCTACTCACATACACGCACACACACACACACAAACAAAAAAATTCAAATCTTGAGCTCTTCACTTGATTCTAAAGTCTCGCTTAGTGTCAAGGCCATTCAATGACTTGAAGCATATTTTTTTTTCTAGAAAATTACTTTCAACTCAGAATTGGATGACTTTAGAAGATTCGACTTCCACTATTTTCGTGACCAGTGAAAATCCAGCACAGAGGTGTGTTAGACCAGGTGTTGGTAATGAAGCAGACTTGCGCAAACCAGCATTTAAAAAAGGACGGTTTGCACAGTTGTGGGCATGAACACAGCATTCGTCGGCCATCAAAGGGGCTTGTCTCTTTCCCTTTAAATGTGGTGCACTCACACCTCACATGGAAACTATCTGGAAAATGATGCATCAATCCATGTGCGATTAGAGCATTTTCACTCCTCTGAGACTATGTGACAACAGGCAACCAAAGCAGTTACCCTTAATAAATAAGCTCATGTTAACCACTGTCGACATAAATATGTCGGCGTACGGCATGTAACTATTTATCCACACTCCCGCTCCACAACTCCAGTTGCATGCAGGCCAGGTGTATGATTTAATAATTATAATTATAATAACAACAATAATAATAGTAATAATAATAATACTGTATTATTAATAATGATAATAATAATAATAACACATTCATTTAATTGATTTCTACCATGATTCAGGGCCTTGCACCCGCACGAAAACCAAGATATACCAGCATTTCCGCATGCGCCAGCTATAAAAATAGAGCCTTCTTGTGTCAACAAGATATGAAAATAATCAATGCTGTTTTTTTTTTGTTTTGTTTTTAATGGAAAAAAATATGGGAGGCACAAAGGTCCTTTCGAAACTTCAAAAAAACAAACTCACTTTAATCGAATAATCAAATTAGACCAACTGAATTGCTGTACGGTGCAGTACTTTAATTTGTTTGGAGTGTATTACAGTGAATGCAAAAAGTCAACACACCCCAGTTAAAATGCCAGATTTTGTTTGTGATGTATCGTATACAAAAGGAAGTGACCAAGAGAAATCATTTCAGACCTTTTCTCATCCCTTTTCACGACCTGTAGCTGGTGAAACTATATGGTTAATTTTTTTTTTTTTTTTCGTGAGATGAAGCAAAAAATAAACAGAGATAATGTAGCTACCCAAGTGTGCACACCCTCTTAAGTGGGGATGTAGCTGAGCTCAGTATTATCCAATCACATTCAAACTTAGGTTAAATTGGAGTCAGCGCTCACTTTCCACCAATTAGTGTGCCTCTGATCAACCCCAAATAAAGTTCAGATGTTCTAGTATGCTTTTCCTGACCATTTTGGAGTCATATCTCACAGCCCAAGCCATGGCCCGCAGAGAGCTTACACAGCATAAGACGCATCTCCTTGTTCAAAGCTATCGGTTAGGAGAAGGGTAATAATAATTTCCAAAGTATTAAATAGATCATGGAACAAGTTGAAGACAGTCATCATCAAATGTAGAAAATATGGCAGAATAGTGACAGAACCAAGAATATGGTCATCCCTCCAAAAGTGATGAAAAGTCAAGAAGGCCAACGGCAAATTTGAAGGGGCGGCAACAATTTCTGGGAGCGATGGACCATTAAGTAAATGTGACAATTTCTTCATACTGTATGTCTGGGCCAGGGGATTTGGTGGCAAGATGGAAAATCATCCAAATCTGACTTTATATAAACACAAACGAAATCTCCTAAAAACAAGTGGGAAAATATGTTAAAACACGATTGAACTTACATACTACGATACGTACCGAACTGACAGTTTAGCGCGGAGGCGTTAGCATCATTAGTGGGACTGTTTATTTGTTTAGCAGCAAACGAGGACTTACCGTAGTCAAGGTCGAGGTAATTACGAACAGTTCCTCATACCAGTCAGTTTTAGCATAAGAACTTTTAGGTTTTGGCAACGGAGCCGCCCCCAAGCCTCCCCTAAAAACAAGTAATGAAAAGTCTACGATCTGTGGAAAAGCTAAATTTTGTTGGTGGTTAATCAGAGGCACTTGAAGTGGCGGCAGGCGTGATCTCACTCCCTTTTGAATGTGAATACTGTATTTCATTTTGAGCACGGCCACATCACCGGTGAAAAGAGGATATGTTGTGCAACCACAACTGTTGTTTAGTTTAATTTTCCTTCCGCCTTCGAAAAGAAATCAGATTTCAGTTGAGTTGGACAGGTTAGGTCACATTATGGTGGAAAAAGTTTTGAAATGATTTCTTTTGGTTTGATTTTTGATTTGTAAACTCAACATTGTCGATAGGTGTGACTGTGAATGTCAATGGTTGTTTGTCTACGTGTGCCCTGCGATCGGAAAATGAGTGGGTGGGGTATTTATATTACAGAAACCTGGGGTGTGTATACTTTTTAGATCCACGTTATGTGTGACCCCTGATCAAATTACTCACTTCAGTGACGTTTGTATAATATATATTATACAAACAGGCAGGCTTGCAAACAGGTTGTCTGTTTTTGAGAAACAAGAAACCGAAGCCGTGTCTTCTGAACATGCACGTCTTCCTTGTTGATTTCTGAGTCGGTATGAAGAACTTCATGCGAGTCTGTGCCTGCTGGACTTATGTGTTGCACTCTGACGTTACACTGAGTGAGGTGTGGCGAATCCTGACTGGTTGCCACAGATTCAACAGTGATCTGTCTGCTCCTAACATTTTTTTTTGTTTGTTTTCTCCTACAGGAGGAGCACTCTCTCCCTTTTCTTCTTTTTTTTCTTTTTCTTTTTTTTTTTTTATAAGCAAGACAAGTTGAGGCCGCGGGGATGAACTGGTCGGGACTTGAAAGCCTGTTGAGTGGAGTCAATAAGTACTCCACCGCGTTTGGAAAGATTTGGCTGTCCATGGTGTTCGTCTTCCGTGTGCTAGTATTTGTGGTGGCAGCACAAAGAGTTTGGGGCGATGACAGCAAAGACTTTGTGTGCAATACACGGCAGGTAAGACAGGACAGAAAAATATACTGTACCAGAATAACATGAGCATTTGACTACATTCCCTCAGTGTATTAACTGATCTTTAATTAAAAAAAAAAATCCAATAAAAACAGTATTGTCCAACACAGTAAATTTCAGAGTACATTTTACTCTAAAACAGGGGTGTCAAACCCATTTTTGTCACGGGTCACTATGGGGTTACGTCTTCTCTCGGAGGGCCATTACAACAGGAAAGCTAAATAAATGTTTATATATTATTACCTGTACACAACAATTTGATGGAGTACTAGTTTTGAAATGAGTCATATCAACTATAATAGTTTGTTCAATTATTGTTTGAGTGAGTGTGAACAGGATGACAAAATTATTGCAAAATCTCAACGTTATTTATTACACATGACACTTTGACGTTTCGGTATTGATTTTAGCAAGGTTCATGGAAGTTGACACACATGGTTTGCTTTCGCGGGCCACATAAAATGATGTGGCGGGCCGGATCTGGCCCACGGGCCTTGAGTTTGACACATGTGCTCTAAAATGACTATATTTGGTCCCAGTGTAAACAGAATAAAATTTGAGAATAAACATAAAATGATGTGGCGGGCCGGATCTGGCCCACGGCCTTGAGTTTGATACATGCGCTCTAAAACGACTATATTTGGTCCCAGTGTAAACAGAGTAAAATTTGAGAGTAAATTTTGCACTGAAAAAAAAACGTGCTCAAAAACTTTGAATTTTGCTCCAATGTTTTTTCCAGTGTAAAATTTACTTTGAATATGTTACTCTTTTTTGACTGGGATCAAATATAGACTTTTTTAGAGTCAAATGCACTCTACGAAATTTACCCTGTAGCCATATCATTACATAACATAACAACAGAAACTAAAATCACTGCCATAACTTGGCAGGCTCGTCTTACTGGCTTCAACACAAATGGCTTCTGTAGCCAGCAAACCAGTTGAGACATAATCAACGTACCTCTGGCCATCAGCATGTTTCTTCCAAAAAGGACACTCCACAATTAACCGAACTAAACTGAACTGCTGTTACAGGCGCCGCAACACAGCTTTGCTAAGTTGACAAAATTTTTAAACAGGGGAAAATTGATTTTAATGACCATTCCTATCCTGCCATCAAACATTTTATTTGTGGAGATGGGGCGGGGCTATGTTGGAAATGCAGGTTACTTTAGTAAGTGCAATTGTTTCATCCATTTCTTTGACTCCTCACGCTTATTTCGCAGCCGGGCTGCACCAACGTGTGCTACGACCACATCTTCCCCATCTCCCACATCCGTCTGTGGGCACTGCAGCTGATCTTTGTCACCTGCCCATCTCTCATGGTGGTGGCTCATGTCAGATTCCGTGAAGAAAAGGACAAGAAGTATGTGGAGTTACACCAAGGCTCTCACCTGTACGCCAACCCTGGCAAGAAGAGAGGAGGCCTGTGGTGGACCTATCTAATTAGTTTGGTCTTCAAAGCTGGATTCGACATCTCATTCCTCTACATTCTGCATCGGGTTTACCATGGATATGACCTGCCAAAGTAATTTGTTTTCATATGATACAATCTTTTGATTTCGATACTTATTGTTTGAGTAGAATCAATCATCTCTCCATTATTTCTCAGGTTATCCAAGTGTTCACTGCTTCCGTGCCCGAACACCGTGGACTGCTTCATTAGCCGTCCGACTGAGAAAAAGATCTTCATGTTGTTTATGGTCACCTCCAGTGCACTGTGCATCTTCATGTGCATTTGTGAGATGGTTTATCTCATTGGTAAGCGCTTTGTCAAAAGATTCCAGGTCCGACACGAGAACGAGAGGATAATGTTCGCTGATCAGCATGAGCTCACCAACATGGCCCCACCCAGGTCGCTGTACAGGAAGACTGATCCAACACTGGCTGAGAGCCAGATAAGTTTAAATAAGAAAGCGAAGACCAGAGATATGGGTGCGACGACAACGCTTTAGACATCCGTTCAAGATGGATTAATTCATTATCTGATTGAAAAAAAAAATCTCTACACCATCAAATGATGGATATAAGTCGACTGACTGAAAATACTTTTTTGTATGCTGTGGGACACTGTGTTCTAAGGAGGAGGAGAAACAGAAATGCTTTGTTTGGATTTCACATTTTTAACTTCATCTTGAATGAGAAACTCCCTGCAACTGACTTCTACTGGTCAAATACTGGGCACCACTCGAACTACGGCGCATGCCAACATGTGCATTATTGCTCTGATAAATTACACATAGTACACTGGCTGAAAATGGAGGACCTTTGTCATAACGTGGACTGACCAGGCTGAGATTTGAAATATCCTCTTCTTAAGAAACAAAATATGTGGTTATTTAATTGAAATGTTGAGTATATCATATCCAAATATGTTGCCTTAAAATTAGCATGACCATTTGTGATCCTTTTCTGTTTAATGTACGGGGTCAGGAATTGAACATTACATTACATTACGTACATTACGTTGTCCATCCATCCCTCCATCCATGTTCTCATCCACTTATCCTCACGAGGGTCACGGCGTGTTGGAGCCTATCCTTGCTGTCTTCAGGCATTAGGTAGAGTACACCCAGAACTGGTTGCCAGCCAATTGCAGAGCACACATAGACAAACAATCATTTGTGCTCACAATCAAGCCTAGGGACAATTTAAATTCTTCCATTAACCTGCCAGGCATGTTTTTGGAATGTGGGAGGAAACTGGAGTACCCGGAGAAAACCTACGCACGCCCGGGGAGAACATGCAAACTCCACACACGAAGGCCAGAGCCGGAATCAAACCCTGCACCTCTGCACTGTGAGGCGGACACATGCTAACCAGTCGTCACCCTACTTTACATTGTCTTTCTTACAAAACAAGGGAAAAGCCACCCTAGATGAGTTTTATGGCCATCCAGAAATATTTGAAAAATTACAACTCTTGACATGATTTTGCCTTTATAAAGCACCAAAATTATGGTGAAATTAAATCAAACAATCAACCTATGATTGAAGTGTAGGATTTCACTATTCATTTAAGATATTCCAATGAATATTTCACTCTACATGGAGAGGTTTGCCGTGATATTTGTGTGCCTGTAAATATATATCCATGTATATATAACAAATCATACTTACAGTGGATGTTTTCAATAGACAGTTGTAGGCATCAAATCATAAAAACTGTGTCAATTTTACAAATACCCCTGGACCTCTAGTAATAAACTTTGTTTACATCAAATGTATAATATGTACAGTATGTGATATACGCAGTGCAGTGGTCTCTCAGGTCATGGTAATAGTAAATAATATTGGTTTTGTTGCGAAAAACACTTCAATTATTGTAAGCACTGCCCTAAAGGATCTATGACATGACCTGTATTTTTTTTAGCTTCCTCTTTAAACTATAAAAACAAAGAAAAGAGAAAACGCCAAAACGTCGCTGACTGCAAATATATAAATGTATATATAAATATATACACCAGAGGGCGCTACACCTCTATAAAAGACATCCCCTTAAGACGTGCTGATCAAACGATGTTTATTGAAAGCTGACGTCGCAATGCAGTCTGTAGTTGATGCTGGATAATGACTCGGAAGTCATTTGTGCGGTTTAGTGTAGAAAATAGTGTGGGTGAGGTGGGGACGGGTGGGGGTCGACTCAATGTCCTTTATTTCAAGGTGAGCCCTTGAATTGCAGCCCCAGCAGGAGCAGAAGACGTCATGTGGAAGTGTCATATCACACTCACACTTATTGCCGGTTTTGCAGGCGTAAACAGAACACAAAGGTGAACAGAGAGGAGCTCATCCAAGTCCGGAATGATGGATTTTTGAGTCATAGCTGTAAAACAAAACCTGGAGTGGTCTTATACTTTCTTTATACTTTTAATTTTGACTCGCTTATTGGATGATGTGTGAATGGTGAGACATTTTTTTGTAGAGACAGTTACTTTACCTCTGGACTGAGAAATATAATATCTTACCGAGAATATGTTAGCCTTTCTATTTTGTCTTTGATTACGTCTAAATCCACTGAGAAATGACGATGCTGTTGTGAAAACATTTAGGGTTTTTTTTGGGACACTGTAACACTTGTTTGAATGTTTGACACTTGATATATGTCTTTGTTATACATCTTCTTGATCGTTTCTAGCATTATGCAGACAAAGAATGCTGAAGAACAAAAATCTGAGGATCAAAATCAAATGGAAGTTTACTACACGTGATCATCTTACACTAAGAAATGGTTCCTGGAACGAAACAAACATATGGGACACCACTACTTCAGACTTTCATGTACCGGCACTTACTTTACTGTTGGTTCCCTGTTAGACATAGGCCCAAGTGTTTATAAATCTTGTTATGTGCTGCTACGTATTTTATGTAGTGCATATTTTGTACTTATTTATCTGACTCACATGTTACTTGCTTCCAAATCTAAGATTTTGTGATCGTGATACAGTAATGTTGAAGCCATTTTTGATTAATTTTACAGCTCCACTAAGGATAGAAATATTGAATGCAGGATGTGTGTATGTGTGTTTTAACGTTTTTTTTCTTGTTTTGATTAAAAAAATGTGACAAAACAACTGTGAGGAGAGTGTTTCTATACTAATTGAAAAAAAAAAGAAATAAATGTAGTTTATTAATACGTTTGACAACCGGTCTCCATTGTGACAGTTGTCCCTATAATGCAGGGTTGCTCAAACTCGGTCCTCATGGGCCGCTGTCCTGCCAGTTTTCCATCTCTCCCAGCTGCAACACAACGGATTCAAATAATCAGGATCGTTCTAATGCTGCTTCACAGCTGGCTTATGAGCTGATCATTTGAATCTACTGTGTTTTGCACATTTTTAAGTTTTTGCCATGGTAAGTTTTCAGTATTGCTGTCAATGTACTTTATGTGCATGTATCAAAGTAAAAAAATGATGGTAACGTGACAACACAAGTCACACAATGCATGCACCATATGGATGGATCAGCACACTACTTGGCTTGATGATGAAGCGCTGCTTCCACGAGCGAAATATACATTACATAGAATAGAACAATATTTTTATGGACACTTGAACTTTTGAAAGTAAAATTCAGCTTTACCCCCGGTCATCAAGTGCCACCTTCATGATAAATGGTCGAATCAGCGGAAGAACGGTAAAGCCAGGATTTAGTTTTGCGTCTCTTTCAGTCAAAACTCAGAGAAGCGGAACATTACGAGCTGGCGCTCATTTGCATGAGACCTCTAAAAACACTTGCTGCTTGAAAAAGCCTGTAAAAAGAGGTTGAAATCCGTGCTGGGGAATTTAGACTGAAGCACATCATAAATATATTATTAAGACAGCAGGGAACGGTTTTAATGTGTGAAAAAATGGCAATTTGCAACTCCTTTAAGGTTAGCATTTATGAAAATGTTGATTATATCTTGCTAGAAGCAGTTTTGTTTTTATACAATTGCAAAGATTTTTTTTTTTTTGTGGGGGGGATGGTGGGGTTTATTAGAGCAGGATGCAAATTTTGAGGTGTAGTACCAGTCATCATTATGTAACCTGCCTTCTACTAAGCTGTCTGTGATGCCAGTTTTTCACAGGGAGCGTGGTGGAGGGTGGGGGGGCACACTTTACACACAAATCAGTGGAGCTTGCTGTGATGGCCAGCAGATCAGCCCACATTGCTTCTTTCTCTGAGCTGTAGCCCAGGTTTAAAATAGCTCATTTTCCCTCTCAGGTCTTCACCATATTTGGGATGGCGTTATATAATCAACTCTTACTGTTACCCTCTTACTCTTTGTCACTGTGCTTCAATCCCATATTCCAAACTATCTTACTCTAGTTCAATCTCTCTTTTGTTATTAGACTCTAAATGTAATTGTAAGCAATTGTCCTGGCCAGTTTGGCAAAAACAAAGTACAGCACCAGTTCTGTTTATCGGTCACAAGTCGATGCTGATAAATATTCATTAGAAATGGTGATGTAAAAAAAAAAAAAAAAAAGAAAGTACCCACGCAACAGTATTTATCAAAAGAAAGAGATGCAACCTTGGATCGTGTTTGTGTGTGCATTTCTTTGTATGTTCGATTCTGCAGATAGTCAGAAACTCACACGTGACACAGTCAAGCCACTATCACCCACGTAGAAAACATTCGCAGATAAAAAAAAAAAAGAAAAAAAAGCTTGCAACCACCCACACACTCGTACACACACCCACGATGCGAACACAACAATATGAAGAAAAGTGGTGGCTAACGAAATAAGAGAAAAGCAGGGAGAAATACTGACGGGCTTTCATATTTGCACTCGTTACATAAATGGGAGTGATGATTACAAGCATGAATTGCAAATAGTGAATCGCTGCATTGGGATTTTTTTTTTTTTTTTTCATGGTCACTGCAGATAGAGAAGAGCAACGACGTGAAGGGCTGTGTTGAGATACAATTACAGACTGGAACAGTGATCTGGCATTGAACCAGACAACTGTAATTTTTTTTATCTTGCTTTCATTGTATAATTTGTTGCTTCGGAGTCATTTTTCATTAGGAGGACACAGGTGGAAGGGGAACCCATTTGCAAATTGTTGATTCAAACACACACACACACACACACACACACACACACACACACACACACACACACACACACACACACACACACACGAATAAAAAAAATAAATAAAAAGACTCACGTCGGCTTTGACAAAAATGGCCCAGGACAAAAGAGAGCTGCTGTCCTTCAGCAGCCTACTGCAGTTGATTTTCTTTCTGCTTTTGTAGCCCTCATTTTCTCGGACTAATCCTGCGAAAAATGTCATGAGCTAAATCACTGTTGTGCAGCATAACCAAGAGTCTCTTACTGAGTCTCCTTCAAGATCAAAGGATACATTTTATAGTACAATATGAAATAATTTATGGTTTTCTGACAAAAATTCAGCATAACTAAAATAATTTTGCAACACCGATATCAGTCTTTCTCCTCAGACTTTTATGTAGCTCAACTGAAGACCAATGTTTCATTTAAAACCCAAAAGCCCACTTCTGGGAAATAGAGCTCTGTTTTGAGACGGGCTAGCATGGGATTTGGTATTTTAGCAGGTGCACACATCTTAGCCCAGTTAAAAATGGATGTTTTGCACCACCGTGTAGGCATGCTAACAACGGACTTCATTTGCAGCCAATCAAAGCAGCTCTTATCATCGCCTTGAACATGTGAGAGGCGCAGCCCTTGACATGGCGACAAAAGAAATCCATGCAGTACGTCCAAATGCGCAAAGTACAGTCCAGCGGTACCTCGATTTACGAACATCTCTTCATACAAAATTTTCAAGTTACGACAACAGGAAAATATTGCCTCTTGTTACGGAAGAAATTTTAAGATACAAAAGGTAAAAATACAGTATGGCCCGCTACTCGCACCTCCAAAATTTCATGAGCATTATCCTGGCATCCCATTGGCTAAGAAGGACTTCTACTATATGTGTCTATTTGTGTAGCTCGATAGATAGGTGGCTATGCAGCGTCCTCGTCATTCGCCCCTCGGGCCATGAGGCGTCCTGATAGTTTTACGTAAATGTGAATCATCAAGAAAGAGTGTTCACCAGTTGGGCGATCGCTCACTATGCTGATGTTTGCCTTCGGCATTTTCGAAGGATTGTTAAAAGCCGACAAAAGCAAATGTCCTCGTAACGGTTCTTTACAAAACGCCAGGCAAAAACCACTTCTGAGAGACAACATGGACTAAAGAGGGCAAAAACGCAGTTCAAAGTTAAATGACCATCATTTTTATTCTTTATTCTTTGTTTTTTTTACATTTTGCACAACTCTCATTTATTGTGCAATAATCTAATTGTAACATGTATTTGTTACATATTTCGATGCATTTTTATGCTTTAGGAAACATTTATGTCAGAATTTGGGGGGACCTGGAACGAATTAGGGCATTTACATGGAAAACGTGTCTCTATGTATAAAATGTTCTCGTTGAGAAATTTCTTCCAGAAGCAATTAATTTTATAAGTAGAGCTACCACTGTACACTGATGAAAAAGTAAAAGCAGACATTCACTATCGGATGATGTCAAGTTGGCCGTTGTGATGTTGGCACTTGGAGACCGCCTCCCATCCTGATCATTTGTGTCAGTATGACACCTCCACGCAGCCACAGGGATGATTTTAAATATATATTAAAGATGGAAATGATAATAATGTGTTCAATGAAGAGTTTCCACTATGATTCTAAGAGTTTGAAGCAGGTTGTTACCAAATCACGTTCGGCTATCCGCACCAAAAATTCGACATGGGTCTAGCAGGCGTAAACCTTATTCAACTTTCAGCCACAAAAATGTCTGATGCGCTGGACGAATGTCAAAAGACACCCCCTGTGTGTGTCAGAAAGCCCACCATGATGCCAACAGTTTGACACATTTCCAAACAGGCGAAACGAGGCTCGCGCCGGCACTAAAATCAAGATGCGCAGGTTTTTATGCTCAAGTGCAGCGGCGCCGTCTATGAATATCGAGACCTGATTGAAAATCAAACTGACAGATAAATATATTACAAGAGGACCCAACCACGATATTCACAATATCCAAACACTATAATTTTTGTATATTGCTTTGTATAGCAGGGTTTTTACTTTCTGCACCTGGATTCGACACTTGTGCGAGTTTGTAAAGCAGTAATACCACCTTTCAATTTTCTCTCTATCTGTCTCTTTGTCTGGCTGTATCTCTCTCCTGCTCTCTCTAGTCTACATGAAACACAACAAACATCAGTAAATGGCTGGACAGAGGCTTTGAAATCTCAGATTGCATTAGTACGCAATGTGTAGGCTATGTGTAATTAGCAACGTGACAGAATTTCCCAAAATCTGTAAAACTGTCAAGTCTGGTTCGATAGGCCAAGAATTTTGAACATCACATGAAGAGTTTCGGAGATAGTGTTGAGTAAAGGGCCTTTTTGGAGAGGTGTTATATTAGCCCCTTTTCCACTGCAGGAATCTTTTGAAGAGCTTTTCAAGTTGAGCTGGGAGATTCTGTAGGGGCTCAGGTGGAATCTACCCTTCTCTGCATTCACAAACAGCTAACGCATTCGAAAAGGTCAAAAGGCATGACCGAATACCAGAAATGTCCTACCAGAGTGTTGAACGTGGTCTTCCATGCTCATGGGTTATTGTGTCCACTTTGGGTTCAGCATGAAGGCTGAAACCAATCATCTCATTACGTAGAGGACAAAAGATGAGAGAAACATTTCCGGACAAAATGGATTTAGAGTACAGTGAATTTCCTCAACATTTATCAAACTAACGAAATCTTCCATGTCCCATCTTTCTTCTTTACAATGAGTGTGAAATGTTACAGGCGGTGACAAACAGAATGTGTCATCTGGCCCAACAATTCCCTTGATAGTTGCAGAACTGGCACATGAATTAACTATTCATAAAGGTAATCTCACTCTCTGAGGCCTTATTCAAATGCTCTAATTAATAAGCTTTAAATAGATGGACAGACCTACATTACTGACATAACTTCTCATACGGTTCGATGTATCTCAAACACAGATGGTGCCACAGGCTGCGTGCGTGCATGCATGTGTGTGTGTCTGTCCGCGGGGGCATGTGTGTGCATTTTAGTGTAAACAAAAAAATGCTACAGGACTTCTTGGAGAGCCATGGCTGGGTGAAAGACACATGCCTCCTAAGCCATTGGAGATACAGTGCAAGAAACAAGCCATCTTAACCTGACAGACCACCTGCCCCAACCTTAAAAAATACGTTGGGGGGCATCAGGATGTAGGAAGGATACTATCCATCCATCCATTTTCTGATCCGCTTTATCATCACAACGGTCGCGGAGCGTGCTGGAGCCTATCCCAGCTTTCTCCGAGCAGTAAGCGGGGGACACCCTGAACTGGTTGCCAGCCAATCGCAGGACACACATAGACAAACAACCATTCGTTTTGATGATCACAAATAGCGACAATTTAGAACGTTCACTCAACCTACCATGCTTTTTTGAATGTGGAGGGAAACGGGAGTACCCGGAGAAAACACACGCAGGCACGGAAAGAACATGCAAGCTTCACACAAGAAGGGCACAGCCCTACTAAAACAAATAAAATGGAGCCAACATTTGAATCAGAATTATGTCAAGTACTTGATCTGTGTATCATATTGATGTGGTCTCTTAATAACTGACGGGCCAAATCCTAATTCATTCATTCATTCACTCATTTTCCGAACCGCTTCATCCTCACGAGGGTCGCAGGGGGTGCTGGAGCCTATCGCAGCTGTCTTCGGGCAGTAGGCGGGGGACACCACGAATAGGTAGCCAGCCAATCGCAGGGCACACAGAAACAACGCACACTCACACCTAGAGACAATTTAGAGTGTTCCATTAAACTGCCACGCATGTTTTTGGAATGTGGGAGGAAACCGGAGGACCCGGAGAAAACCCACGCAAGCATGGGGAGAACATGCAAACTCCACACAGGAAGACCGCAGCTGGAATTGAACCCGGTGCCTCTGCACTGTGAAGTCAACGTGCTAACCACTCGACTACCAGGCCACCCATAAAGAATTCACGTCTGTAAAAATGAATACCTCCCGTCGAAATGTTTTAACAAAAGGAATATTGCAAAACATCAGTCAAAGATGATAAAAGGTCGGTTTGGTGAAACTTCTTTGCTTTTGGCTTGTCTCATTCCAGGTCTTTCCATTGACAAATCTATCTTCTACTCTCATGTCCTTCCCAACTGCATGTATCAGCCTTCTTTGAAGGCTTCTTCTCGCTCTCCTGCCAAGCAGCTCCAATATACTCAATGTCCTCAGTATCCCTATTCGGGATGTGTCCAAACCATCAAAGTCTGGTTCTCTAACTTTGTAAATATCTAACCTTGGATGTTCCTCCGAAAAGCTAATTTGTCATCTTATCAAACCACTCCAAAAGAAAACCTCAACTTCTTCATTCCCACAACCTCAAGCTCTGCTCCCTGTTGTCCCTTCAGTGCAGCTGTCTTGCATCACACAACGCACCTAACACTTTCCTCCAACCATTCCAACCTCTTCACCTCCTTGCCACACTTATCATTGCTCTGCACTGTTAACCGTTAGAGCATTATTGTCTAGCGTAAAGCACGATCTAATTGTGTCTTTTGATCCACAAAGATACAATGCAGCTCCTGCTGACCTTTTCTGTACTTCTCCATCAACAACACTGAGCCAAATAATGTAGCTGTAGTTCTCCTGGGCATGAAATCATACTCTTGTTCATCAATATTCCCTCCCTTTCTGAGTCAAGCTTCCATTACCCTTCATCGAGTAGCAAAAACATACTTTGCCTCCCCTCCTCGAGTATCCTCTCACCCTCTCAAATTCTTTTTACAACCTGTTAAAAAACTACACAGCCACTCCACAGACCTCCACATGTGTGTTTGGTGATCAGTATGGTGACTGGGATGTATTTTTTGTTTTTTTTCCCGTGCATTGCTACAAACTTGCATGTAATTTTGCGTTGACATTTACAAGGCAAAGGGACAAGTACATACTCACTCTGAAACGTTTTTATTTTACTTTGTACGGTGTAATGAGTCAGCTGAGGTTGTCCAGATCTCCAAGTAAAAGTGGAAATGCATTCCAGTTTGGAAGGATTTCTAGATCCTAAATTCCTTTATGAAAAGGTACATACAGTATGTCGATCCAATGTGAGCTGTAAGTTACACAACATATACAAATAAAAACACAGAATAATAACACTGTTGATATTGCAAGAAATTTGAAATCAATCATAGGATCTTAAACAAGATTTGCAACAAGATAATCAATAATAATACATGAATATCCAAATGTACTTATTTGCACCAAAGAAGAGAAAAAAATGTGAATTCTCTCTCTCTCTCTCTCTCTCTCTCTCTCTCTCTCTCTCTCTCTTTATATATATCTATATATATATATATATATGTATATATAGATATAGATATATATATATTTTTTTTTAAGGCCAAGAATATACTGGTCCAGCTGACTTGAGATCAAACTGGGGTGCATGTGGCCCCTGAACTAAATCCTGATCTCGGATTATGTCTCGTAGTAATTGCAATAGCTCTACTGAGGTGAAAGCAGCATTGAAGAAAATTAAACTTATCATCAACTACAGTCGGCTATAGCACACAAATCACTCAGGAAACACACTTCACGTAGAATATAGCGTGGATCTCTAAGCACATCGCTCAATTATGAATACATTCACATTTTCAGGCCAGAAAAGAAATGGGAACAAATCCTTCCAATATTTTCCATGTCTGCATATTGATCCCATTCTATGTATATAGAATACTACGCTCTTATCTCAATGGTGAAAATATATCGGTCCCACACAGTTAAATGCACTGCAATGTTAAATAAAATACACTGTACACTTTAGCTTGACCTCAGTCAATTCTTAAAGGTTTGTTGGTTAAATACATCCATATATTGTGGCGTTTGGGAAAGAAAAATGAAAATATTCAATATAAAGGCCGCAATCATGTTAAATTGTTAGATTTTTAGATTCCAGCACTCTGTTTCCAATCCCACCTACCATTTAATGGTGAAGGATCATGCCAAATATTATATACTGTATATAATATTGTTTTGAGTTTATTCTGGAGTACATTGTTCTTGTAATCGTTTATGTACAGTACATTCAACATAATACAAAATATTATGAAAATGTGTGCAATAGGCCAACCTGTATTCTGTAAATCATCCATAGGTATCATTTTATTTTACTGTTCATTTCTCCCAGTATAAACCGTAACTGACTACATTTCCTCACAGTCTCTCAGAGTCTTTTGACTAAAATTCATTACATACCGTCAGGTAAGCTCATTTGGTTAGCATTTATGCATCTTTATGTGGCAAGAAGGCAATGGCAAAAGCTAGCTGCAAGATTAAAAGATAACAGAAAAAAAATAGGCTTGGACTGTTCAAGCCATCGGATTCTACAGAGAAAGTTGAAGAACTTCTCTACCTTTTTTTGGAACCAACTCAGTTTATGTGTTGAAAGCTTCCCACAGAGACCCAGGCAATAACTGCTTTGTTCAACCAGAAGAGGAGGAGGATGGGGATGATGTTAAAGACGATGAAGATGAATGGGGAGGTTGATGCTCCTCACGTCGACAACGTTCGGTTATCCTGGCCTCTGACGATGATGAAAATGATGTCATTTCCTTCTCCTTCTCTTTCCTACTTCCAGTGCAGACTGACCTCTGGGCTGGTTTGAACTGCCAGGTAACCTTCTTGGTTGATGACGATTGCTCAGCTGTTGTCGTCGCCGTTGCTTCAGCAGGTTGATTATCCAAGTTTGTCGATCCGATGGGAAGCTTGCTCCCTTTGCTGCTGTGGTCTTGTTCAATGAAGGGCTCGTCCAGCACCTCAGGTTCTGTGATTTCTCCAAATGAATCCCAACGCGGTTCTGCTGGCAGTCTTTTGGGCCGGGCTAACCCAGCAGATTTAGCCGCTGCAGCTGCAACTTTGGAAGGGCGACTGGGACCCGAATCAGACAGGTCCGAGTCCCAGTCGCTGTCACCTGCCACTGAACTGCAACCCAATATAGACTCATCAACGGGCTCAGAGCCAGAACTTTCAGAGTCTGACTCCCTGGAAAAAAAAACAAAAAGAAACATGCAGAAATTTGTATTTGTACAATGAACTCGGGGCACTGCTCGGGTAGTGGTACACTTTTTCTGGTCTTTTTTGCAGCTCTCGCATATTGAGGTGATGGTCAACACACCTTTGGAGATGCAAACGGTGCTGGAAGAGTTGCATGTGGATGAGCATGCCGTGCAAAAAAACCCAAAACAAAACAAAACTAAACTAAATAAATATTGCAAGTTTTAAAAAAAAACATGACTTTCAGTGGCCACCGCTGACGGAAAATGACGAAAGATAAAAGCAGTGTAATAGGGCTTCTGAGATGATTTACAAATGAATTTTTACCTGAATGAATAGATAAACATATTTTGATGAAATAAGCAAAAAGTGGTTTGAAAATATTTTTAATTTTCATAGTAACTAGAGAATGCAATTTCCGGATAAAATTGCATGTGAAGGCCAAGAGGCTGAAAAAAATGGCAATTGGCATACTGTAGTTACATATGAAGTCAAGATTGACAGTGACTCATAATACATCCATCCAGCGGTCATGCTGGAGCCTATCCCAGCTGTCGGCGGGGTACACCTTTAGCTGGTTGTGAGCCAATCGCATGGCCTAATTCTAACAATACAGACCATAACTAAATGTGCAGCATTTTATTGAAACATGATGAAATACTCGAGGACTTGTTGGACCCTTTGCTTACACGCATGCTAAAAATACATATCCAGGTTTTAAGCAAGCAAAACCTTACAGATTCAGTAACTAAATTATACATATATTTTGTTCTACAACAGTACTTAATTCAATTTGTAATTTATAATGTACCTAAGGATAAAATAGTAAAGCTTGTGGTCATTGTTGCATTATTGCCAAAATGTATACGAGCAACACGCTGGTTACTGTCAAGCGAGCCTCTTGAAGCCCTTTCGATATGAACAGGCTTCTTCACTGGATATTACTGACTATCTTTTAATGATATCCAGGATTCATTGTGATTACCTGCAGTGTTTTGTTTCTGAAGTCTCACATACTTATACAGGCCATTTAGGGTGTCAAATAGCTCATTGTGCTAGTGTGAGTCACCAAAGCTAGATAAATTCAGATTCACAATGAAAATAAGACCTGACATGGCCGCTACAAGACGCCCAGCTATCACCAGCTACTAAATAGAGAAAAGCTATTTTCCACATTCAAATTGAGGATAACAATGATCCAATCATTGCCAATTTACATATGGATAAGAAATCCAGCCGTCAGAAGTGCCAGGCATGTTTGACCAACTGGAATAGCTTGAAAAAGGACACCCTGAGCTTTTCCACTTCAAATTATCTTGCAACCCGATAAAGGGACATAAAACATCCATCCATTCATTTTCTAATCCGCTTTATCCTCACAAGGGCCGCGGGGCGTGCTGGAGCCTATCCCAGCTGTCTTCGGGCAGTAGGCGGGTGACGACATACTGAACCGGTTGCCAGCCAATCGCAGGGCACACAGAGATGAACAACCATTCGTTTTGATGATCACAAATAGGGACAATTTAGAATGTTCACTCAACCTACCATGCTTTGAAAACCCACGCAGGCACGGAGAGAACATGCAAACTCCATAAAGGAAGGCTGGAGCCTGGTATCAAACCTCTGCCCTGTGAGGTCGACGCGCTAACCACTCGACCACCGAGCCGCCAACATAGAACATATATATTTACTCTAAGTGTAGCATAGGACCTTTCACAATAAAAAAACCTACCTGCCACTGTATGATGTTGATCCTTCAGGGCCTAAGAGGAGGCAATCTGGAGCAGCTAGGTATACAAAACTGTCAGTACATAAAAAATCTCCTTCTTCTGGTTTCCGGGGGGCAAGGTGAGACGGCCTGGCATCGGATTCCAGGTTGGAATGCTCAAAATGTGCTTTCTTATGGTCAAGGTGTCGCTTTATGTCTTGAGTGGAGTAATCTGTAACTGTGGAGATCTCTCCATGGGGGCCGGGTCTTGCTGACACAGCAAGATAAACAAAGCTATCTGGTTGGACAAATGGATCAATGTCACTACTGTCCAGTCCTGAGCTTCTAATTGGCTTATGATACGGATCTATCAGGTGTTTGATTGGCTGCTTCAATGGAGATGGCGGAAGGAAGGGGTCATTTGCCATGATGGTAACTTTTCTTCTCGGTCGCATTGCTTCACACTGACTTGTGTCTGATTGGTCCAGTGTGGACTTATAGCTTGAAAATAGTCCCCCTCCCATTTCATCCCTCCATCCATCTCCGTCTTTCCCTCTTGTTTCATTTCTCCCTCTCGAGCCACAAATATCCTCAGCGTTGTCCTTATTTCCTTCAACGTCTTCATGAGAGGAGGTGCTGAGCAGCGAGGGGTAGCACCACTGGAGTTCAGCACTCTCCTCCCTGCCCCATTCCTTGAAACCTCCATCGTCCCCTTCCTTGTCCAATGATGTGTTGCTGCTGCCAAGGTCAGAGCCACTGATTGGCTGGTCGCTGTCAGAGCCAGCCCCCTCCTGGCTCTGAGTGGATAATGAGAGAAAGACGCCACTGGAGTCAGATTCCAGCGTTAAGTTGGAGTCTGGAGAGCTGTCCTCTTTATTTGGGCTGGAAGAGAGATTGCACAATTGCTTACCACCACTATGCCATTACATTTGTGCCGTTCTATTTTTAACTCTCTATTCAGGCCTTTATACCCGAAACAATATGTGCATTGATCGATATCCAAAGTTTGATGGAGGCATAATTTTGATATTTAACTCCTTAAAAAAAAACACTGCATCGTATTGCTGGCAGATCATGGCTGAATACAAAATTTAAAGGTGCTCCCACTACAAAACAAGGAAATGAAAGACAAAAATTTCATGGTATGGCTTTTAAGCTATACAATGTAATATAAATGTACATTTTATATATATTGGTACTGAAAAGGGAAATGAATAATTTTACAATGAGGCTTTCAATAATTATCATAAATAATTATGAGCATGAACATAGTGTACATCTTACATCTACGTTAAAAGGACTATTAAAGAGCTTTTCAAGTTACGGTTGGATCAGTACTTCACAAATTTTAAAATGTTTTGGCACATCAGTATGATTGCGTATTTGTGGCAATTTCCGAGAAAAAAAAAACGAATGGTGTGAAATCACAGTTTTTCCGCTCGATAATTTAAGCAAAATCTCTTATCATATAATATGATGAATATATGGCGTTTCTTAAGGTATCTTATGTTTGTGGGGAATTTTGACATTCATTCAGAAAAATTATGACTTGTCATGACTTAGTCATAGATTTCTCTTTTCACGAAGGCCCGAATACTCCTTTATACATATTTTGCCACATTTTGGACATTCCTAGAAATTTAAAATGACACCTTGCATAATCTTCATATTTTATAACATGTTGCATGTAGCGACAGCCATGGGTAAAACATAAATTACTAAATATTAAACTCCCAAAAGCTTATTTTTATTCATAGGTAGAATGCACACAAAAAATAAAGAAAAAAATAAAAACAGTAGCTTCGTCCGTTGTTAACTATTAAACAGTTGAATTGATGTCAAGCAATAGCTGTGCATGTGCTGTATTACAATCAGTGGTAACGGCAGTGGTGGGTGCATCAGTAAATTTTGCTGGTCCGTTATTTGCCAGCGGGCGGCCCACCGATCCAAAACTATTTCAGTCTGTCAGTCGTCAGTCCATCACTCTGTCATCGTTATTTTCACTGCGCTTTCGTCATCATTATATTACAGTTCGTCACCGCTTTTTTAGAACTGTCAGTGAAAAACTGTTCAACAGGTTTTTACTTCACTGTAATTTAACAAATTAGAGTGAATAATAATTTTATTGAAACCGGGGTTGAAATCAGGATGACAAGCTGAAGACTGGCCTCGAATACTCCTTTATACATATTTTGCCACATTTTGGGACATTCCTAGAAATTTAAAATGACACCTTGCAGGCCTGAAATAATGACAGACTGTTGATGGCGGACTGGCGGGACGGCCGCTGGCGAATGAGCAATGAAGGAGGAATTGCTCACATCTGGTCATAGTTTGATGAAATAAAATGCAAAACACAGTCGCAATACAAGCGGGAAGAAACCGAAATAAAAAGCAGCGTTTAGAATTTTGACAAATCAAGAGTCATTGTGCTTTATGGAGAGGCAAGACAACTTTATTTATATATAGCACATTTCACACACAAGGCAACTCAATGTGATTCACATAAGCAAAGACACAACGGACAGCAAGCATTTACAAACACCTCCAAGCGTTTACAAACAGAACATACAATGACACAGACAAAACAAAATCGCCTTGGAAAAAGTACTAAAAGAAAGCACAGCAACACCATTTAAACACATTTACAGAAAACCATTTAAAAGTATAGAAATATCCTGAACTAAAAAGAAAAACATCATTGTAAAATATTTTGAAGACCTGAATCAAAGGTAGGAGTGGGGAAAAAAGAGTTTTTAACCTGGATTTTAAAGCATTTATACTCAGGGCTAACTTCCCTTCTGTTGGCTGTTTATTCGATTAGTGTGCAGCATAACAACAAAATTGAGCTTCACTATGTTTACTTTGAACTCGATACTCCACTAATTGACCCAGGACTGCAGATCTCAGAGCTCGACTGGGTTATATTCAATCAGCACTTCTTTAATATGTTCAGGACCCAAACCATCCAGTGATTTAAAACCAGTCGAAGAATTTAAAAATCGAGTCTACAAACTGATTTGTAGCCGGTGTAAAGCTTTTAGTTTGATGTCTTTATTCTGGTCAGAACACGAATTGCAAAGTTATGACTGTGCTGCAGCTGTTTGATGCTCTTTTGAGGGCGTCCAATCAGAAGGTATGATTTGAATGAATTGGCCAACAATCGCAGTATGCAAAATGGCTCACTCTGATTGGCTATTAGCTAACAAATGCAAATCAGACTGCCTCTGGGCGAAAGGCCGCTGATGTCATGCTATTGCAAATCCAATCTGACAATCTACGTTATGCACCATTCCATAAGAGTCTTATGTTCTCGTTTATCATTTCCATTTGTTCATACCATTCACCGTGAACCTTTGTTTCTATATAGTGAAGAGAATTACAACTTGGTAAACTTTGAATTGTGCCTTTTTTTCATGAAAAAGACTGAGGGTCAGGTCTCTCTTTATCAAAATATATTTTTTCTTTTATTACATATTTCCGATCTATCGATCCATCATTTTATTATTGTACGTTTTTACTTAGCTATTATTGACAATTTAAAACTTATTTTTCCCCGTGGAGAAATTAATTTGAGTATGTGGATTATTTTATTTATGCTCTACAGTCTGGGATTCTTTATTGGACCAAATTTCAGTTCCAATATTTATATTAAAATAAAAATCTTGTTTTTGGTACAAATATGAATCAAAGGCAATGATCTGCCACCATGGAGCCAAAATATTTACATTATACCCCACACTTCATATAAAAAGAGCTTCATTAAAATCAGTTAACTTTAATAGTTGATTGCCAAATGTCAAATGCATTAATAAATCAATTAATCACAGACTGAAAAAAAAAAAAAACCAACGTAAAAGAAATCAGTAGCTTATTACTCTACACAGAAGGTAACACCAAGTAAAGTGATTTTGGAAGTAACTTGCCCAACACCGACGACAATTAATTTATCACATTGACACTGCCACTAACCTTGTGCCCACAGTGGACGTCCCAGCAGGAGATTTTAATGACCAGCCGACAGTGTCTTTGTCTGTGTCAGTAACTGGCAATACCATGGAGCTGAACTCAAGACTGACCTGGGACCTGCTCCCCACTCCTAGAAAACAGCACACATTTAGTTTCATTAAACAAGAGCACGAGGAGAGCTTTTGGATACTGCATTTTATCACAGTACAGTATTACATGAGCAGTTGTCATGTAGATTTCTGACTTTTCTTTTTGTGTTCCTGGAATGGAGTCTACATCGTGATGAGAAAGAACGAGATCATTTGTAGGGGCTATCACCACCACATATTCTGTAACATTGAATTTACATTATTCACACCACCAATCTAAAATATTAATGCAAGATTCATAAAAGATGAAGTTATATCGTCAAACAAAAGGAGCGATTTGGAAACCGACACTGATTGTTTGACTTCAGAAGAGCTGGATTTAAAAAAAAATAAAAAATAAAAAAAAGATTCAATTTTTAAAGGAAATGTTTACATGATCTGACATTAATGACCGGATGCGTATATGTTTTGGGATAACACACTTAACAGACAAGGCAAGGTAGCATTATTTATATAGCGCATTTCATATACATGGCAACTCACGGACTGTTCTTCACACAAACTCACAAGTTAATGACACTCGCAAGCATAGCAGAGATCACAAAGGTATCTTACAATTTTGACTAGAATATTGTCATTGACACCATTCAAACACATCCATCCATCCATTTTCTAATCCGCGTATCTTCACAGGGGGCGCCTATCCCAGCTGACCTCGGGTAGTCGGGGGGGTATACCCTGAACTGGTTGCCGGCCAATCGCAGGGCACACATAGACGAATAACCACTTAAAATGTATGTATAATTTACCCAAAAGAGACTGTCCCATGTTCACATTGCTACTTTTTTTCCCTCCTAATTACTGTTTATTCTCTATGCGATGCAGTGCTGTATTTTTCCTTTCGGTATCACAATGAGATGGTTTGTCCACAAATAACAGTGCAAACATCCAGCCATCCATTATCTAATCCACTTATCCTCACTTATCCACCGTGCAGAAGCTTGTTCCAACCATTATATATAAACATGAAGAAAATTTGTAATGTTTTATTCCTTCCCTTAATGACATTAAACAGTTAAGCTTTTCAACTCCACACCACTACATTAAACAATAGAGAAAAAGTTCTTTCTTCATTCAGCAGCATGAGCGAACTTGTGCCCAGAACTAGTTATTTAGTTAATTAATTATATGGATATTTGGGAATTAATGTGGAGGAACTGGTAATTTCAAAAAGAGTTACTCATCAGGTAACCACACACACACACACACACACACACACACACACACACACACACACACACACACACACACACACACATATACATTCAAATAGAAGATGCAGACATGCTACTGACACAACAGGCGCAGAAAAACAGTACACACTTCAGTCCTCACACAAGCGCCACTGAGCCCATTATCGGCTCCAGCAAATATCAAGACATGTAATTTTTCGACATAACTCGGAGGTGATGTCATTGCTCAATAGTTCAAACTAAAGCTACAGATACACATTACCTCACAATGAGCGAAATGGATTGCACCGATTCGTTCTAAATACAAAACATCTGAAATCACTGAATGAGTGCGCAGTGTGAGGAACTTTTTAGGGGTTGGGGTGGTTAATGGGAAAAGGAACCAATCCAAATCAGATCAACTGCACACAACTACAACTGTAGATGTCTAAATACAACCCAGTTCGCGGCACATTCAACAGTAAGCACGGAAGTGCATTTAAAGAACAACAACATTTCGAATCAACACGTTTTGAGGTTTGACCACATACAGTACTAGCTAGTCAATGGGATCATGTCAAAAATAGTGGCGGTACGGTACACAGTGGACCCTAATTTCATGCCAAGCATAGGTCTAGCACAAAGTGCAGCCTAACTGTGCACATGGGTGGACTTTTCTTTCCTTTGGAGAGTAGAAAAACGGCATTTGCGCCATTGTGGGAGTGAACATAGCCAACTTGCTTCACGGCCAGTGGAAGCAGCTCCACTCATTTTCTTTAAATTCAGCTCAGGAGAGGTGCATGGCCGACATTGTGGAAGCATGAACGCAGTCGCTGGACTCCATTCAGGAGATGGCTTTCAGGTGGGCTAATGTTCAGTCAACTTTCAGCCACCATGTTTGTTAGAGTTGCCCGGTGCATCAAAAAGAAAATGCCCTCAATCTGTGGTCTGCCCAATGCCCAGACACACTCAAGGAAGACCTGCATGAAAATCTAGATGCGTCATTTCTTAGACCAAGGGGATGTGCGCCTTCTACACAAATGAAGCCCTGAGAGTTAATGACCCCAAAATATTGCCCTCTGATTGGTGCATTGCCATTCGTTTGAGTACTAAAATAGACATGCAGCTCAAAACAGGAGTGTCACATCTACCTTTGCATATATGTGGTCATGGAATGAGTACGGTCATAATGATGTAATGAGTAACCTAGCCTAATATTTGATATCCAATGTCATTGGAAAACGGAGGTCATTCTTTTGTATTTTGGGTTGGTTTTTTTTTGTTGTTTTTAGTGGGGGGAGGAGGGGTGATGCTAGCAACTAATGTCTTCACTGTGACTCATTTTGCTATTCTGGGTCACATTTATGAGACAAATGACTCCGCTCCAGGCAATGAAGGTAGCTGAGGCAGAGCTGACACAAATTGTAATTGGAGAACCTGACCTGTTTTCCATTCCTGATTATGTTTATGACCTAAGAGGCGAAATTTCAATCCTGTGTTTTGTGACACTTTTGCAACAAAGTGCATTGTGTGGCAATGCAACTTATTAGGTCGGTTGATCGAACCAGCAAGCTTTTCTCAAATCAATAAAGAAAACAACACACCCCGTTTTTAACATGCTCTAAAGCAGCAGTCCACAACCTTTTTTGCTGCACGGACCGATTTAATGTCAGACAATATTTTCAGCCTTTAAGGCTAAATACAGGTACAACAAAATAATATGATATGACCTGCATGAAAACGGTGATATAATAATAAACACGGATCACACGAGACGTCCGATCTGGCCTCAACACTCTCTGGTCGCTATGGTAACATTTAAACGTGCCTTCAAAATAAGATACATCGCAAATACAAAGCGCATGAAAAATACGACTCACCATCGCCGCATGTTATGCAAAGTGGGCTTGGTGCGTGGGAATCTCCGAATGCGATAAATCCGTATCTTAAGTAGGACTCCTGATACTGTCTGATTAAATGTAGCCTTCTTTTTCTTGGAAGTCGAAGGCTCCTCTTTTGTCTCCTGGCTGGGCCTTTTCCCCTTCCCAAAGGAACTTTCCAAAGACGTTTGTTTTTTTACTCATTTTGCTCGCTCTTGGGTTTCATTTTAGCGGTCACATATCACGTTTCCGAGAAGCGCCACCTTCACCTGCGTCAGGAGTGACTTACTGTTGATGGATATAACAGAGAATCCAGTAATTTAACATAACATCTTTCAGATTCCGAAATGAATGAAACAGAAGTAATGTTAAGTTATTTAGTCTTTCTGTGCGGCCCGGCACCAAATGACCCGAGGGTTGGGGACCACTGCTCGAAAGTGAACTTTGAACTGCACAGGAAGCGATGACAACTGATTCAAAATCAGCCTTGAGAGCCAAGAGGTGCAAACATTGGACCAACAATAGAGTGCTGATTTCATCATTTTTTTTTTTTTTTTTTTTATATGATAAACAGATCCTAAGCTAAACTTCCCATTAAAAGTTTCCTGGAATTCAGCAGACATTTATCTCCATTGTAACATGATTCCAAAAAAATCACATACAGTATCACCGCAAGGGGTTAGTGCATTCTTTGTCACAATGCATCCCAATGACATTAAAAAAAAAATCCTAATGCTGATTCAATTCCAAACACCCATTCACACAACCTATATTCATTTATTCTCTGTCTTTTTCAGGCACAATCCCTGAGAGATGGATTAGAGTTCACACTAGACCAGGGTGTGAAACTAATTTTCACCGCGGGCCACATTGTCGTTTCCCCAGAAGGCTATTATGACAGTGAGAAGCATACTTACTAGGGTGGTCCATTTTGGAAAAGTTTGTCGGATTCGTCGGGCCGGGTCGGAAATCTTGTCGATACTATGACACAAGGATGTGTGCAAAATTTTATTCCGATCGGATAATTTTATCCCGTCCCGCAGAGCGACCAAAGTTTCCCCTATGGAAAGAATGTTACGGGGCTGAATGGTAGTACGGTTTCTCCCGTACAGTAAGGATTTTGTTTTGCTCAGTTCGCACTTGCAATAATTCAAAGACGGAAGACAGGAACGCATGTATTGCAAAAAAGGCAACCGTGGTGATCCTGCAACACTGGTGAGATTGTTGGTCCATGTTAACTGGTCCATCTATCTATCTGTCCATCTGTCTATAATGGCCATCAACACTAGTGACACTGTTAGACCGCAAAAAAAAACGAAATCCGCCGTGCGTGCCATCCCATGCCTACTTCGCGCACGGGTGCAACGCCCGGTGTCGCTCCACGACCTGCAGAAGGTGCTGTCGCTGTTCCTCGTCGCGCGTAAAGGCGCCGCAGAACGCGCTGATGAGGGCGACGCCCCTCTCCGCAAA